GAAATAATGGGAATTTTTTCTTGACCGTTTTCTTGAGAGCTGCATACAGGGCTTAAATAAGAAATATAAAATAGGATGAAAGAAAAGCAAAAAAGCAATTTTTGCAAAGAGCAGCAGTGAGATTTCGAATTTACGGGCGCAATGGTGTACGGATAGTAGCTCTGATCCAATACTTTTCGTGAAAAATCCTGTAAAACTGTCAAACAGCAAAATTACTCTCTGAAGTGAGAGTAAAAAGTGAGTAACAATAAAAAGTACGGGAACAAGAAAACCATTTTTCCTGTAAAAACGTCAACCAGTGATTGCTTGACACTTTTCATGATTTTACCAGAAGAAAAAGTTCGGGTAAAATCTTGCAACTTCATTCTCTACACAACTCTCCAAAAGTCGCTCTCATTTACAGCATTTTGGAGTACGGGAACATTTTTCCTGCAACTTCCTGCAAGTTCGTGTAAAATCCTGTAAGTTCATGGAGTACTGGATCAGAGCTAGTGTGTAACTTGCCGCATAAGCACCGTTGACAAGGATGACATGATACGAAACTCTNCTGTGTGGAGCTGCCGATACAAAAGTATATTCAGGCTTATAAGACTGTAATTATACATTTTTCTACATTTAAGGCCTGTATGCAGTTCTCAAGAAAAGCAAAAACTCCATATAAAATGACGTACAAGAAATGGCTAAGAAATTTTCTTGAGTCAAATTTCCTCAAGGCAGTACGCACTTCTTAAGAAATATACTACGCTTTCTACTACGGTTTCCTAAAGTTTTTTGTGAAAAAGGAGCACAAGGCAACCCAGGTTTGCAACAGAAATATATCCCCGTTCCATCATTTCTTGAGGAAAGAGTGAGGCAACAGGCTGTGAAGTATCAAAAATTACAAAATTCCTTGGACACACACGCGAAATAATGGGAATTTTTTCTTGACCGTTTTCTTGAGAGCTGCATACAGGGCTTAAATAAGAAATATAAAATAGGATGAAAGAAAAGCAAAAAAGCAATTTTTGCAAAGAGCAGCAGTGAGATTTCGAATTTACGGGCGCAATGGTGTACGGATAGTAGCTCTGATCCAATACTTTTCGTGAAAAATCCTGTAAAACTGTCAAACAGCAAAATTACTCTCTGAAGTGAGAGTAAAAAGTGAGTAACAATAAAAAGTACGGGAACAAGAAAACCATTTTTCCTGTAAAAACGTCAACCAGTGATTGCTTGACACTTTTCATGATTTTACCAGAAGAAAAAGTTCGGGTAAAATCTTGCAACTTCATTCTCTACACAACTCTCCAAAAGTCGCTCTCATTTACAGCATTTTGGAGTACGGGAACATTTTTCCTGCAACTTCCTGCAAGTTCGTGTAAAATCCTGTAAGTTCATGGAGTACTGGATCAGAGCTAGTGTGTAACTTGCCGCATAAGCACCGTTGACAAGGATGACATGATACGAAACTCTTTTTTCTCGTGAGAGCGCTGTGAAAAGGTTCATTTTTATAACATCCCCCAATATTGTCACAACAGCGAAAATCATATTGGGAGATGTATTGAGAAAATGTTTGTGAATTTTTTATTTAACCAAACAAGCAAATATTTTAGATTTATAGTATCTTCTTAATTATTTAGTGTTAAAAATTACCATATAAAATGTTTTTTCTTGCAAACACTATTTTTAGCATAATTTTTTAATGTGTTTGCAGGAAATCCATTGCAATTAAATCGGTGTATTTTAGGCGTATTTAGTGGCAGCTCGCTATTTTGCTTGTCAGCTGTTCAGTCCATGGTGGAATAATAACCATAACCATGGTTCAGTCTTACAGGTTTTGTCCAGAAAAGATCAGGAATTAAACTTATGTATACATAGTCCGCTGTCGAAGCGACGCCAACGCCAACGCCAACGCAACGCCAAATTTGTATGTAAAGCTTAGTATCCAGCTCTTAAGAAAACGGTCAAAAAAAATTGCCATTATTTCGCGTGTGTGTCCAAGGAATTTTGACTTTTTTTATACCTCACAGCCTGTTGCCTCACTCTTTCCTCAAGAAATAATGGAACGGGCATATATTTCTGTTGCAAACCTGGGTTGCCTGGTGCTCTTTTTTCACAAAAAACTTTAGAAAACCGTAGTAGAAAGCGTACTAAATTTCTGAAGAACTGCGTACTGCCTTAAGGAAATTTGACTCAAGAAAATTTCTTAGCCATTTCTTGTACGTCATTTTATATGGAGTTTTTGCTTTTCTTAAGAGCTGGATACTAAGCTTAAACGCATGAACCAATTAGAACAGGTCTGATAGGTTGAGAAGCAGTCATTTGTAATAGCAATTGAGAAAAAAGTGTGTGACGTTCGTAATTTTGAAGTTTGCTATTTCTGTTTTGCTTCTTTCTTTATGTGTATTTTGGCGGTGGTTTATTTCAGTGATTTTTAAGCGATTTTCAATAAATTTTTTGTGCAAATGTAATTAAAATGAAGTGCGCGGTGATTGGATGCAAAACCACGTACAAAAATATTAAATTGGTGGAACAAATGCAGTTGGGCTCCAAATCTCAAAAAAAAAAAANAATTATCAAAGGTTAAAGTTCAAAATAAGCAATTTTTGAAATCAAGATTTCTCAAAAACGAACGAATGGATTTTAAAATTTTGTATCTCATTTAATAGCAAATTTGATTCCCTTTAATTTGCTATACGTTCTTTATATATATGTTGTATAGTTCTTACAAAAATTGAATTAATGTAAAATAATTATAAAAAAACACCTTTTGCAGAGAACACCTTTCTGCGTAGGTGGCCTTCGGCCGCACTTAGGGATTATAACCCTCACAACGTAGCATTCTCTTTCTGTGTTGCGAAGAAAAGGCACTGAACACCTTTTGCAGAGAACACCTTTCTGCGTAGGCGGCCTTCGGCCGCACTTAGGGATTATAACCCTCACAACGTAGAATTCTCTTTCTGTGTTGCGAAGAAAAGGCACTGAACACCTTTTGTAGAGAACACCTTTCTGCGTAGGCGGCCTCCGGCTGCACTTAGGGATTATAACCCTCACAACGTAGAATTCTCTTTCTGTGTTGCGAAGAAAAGGCACTGGACACCCTTTGCAGAGAACACCTTTCTACGTAGGCAGCCTGCGGCCGCACTTAGGGATTATAACCCTCGCAACGTAGAATTCTCTTTCTGTGTTGCGAAGAAAAGGCACTGAACACCTTTCTGCGTAGGCGGCCTCCGGCTGCACTGCTACGTTGTGAGGGTTATAATCCCTAAGTGCGGCCGAAGGCCACCTACGCAGAAAGGTGTTCTCTGCAAAAGGTGTTTTTTTATAATTATTTTACATTAATTCAATTTTTGTAAGAACTATACAACATATATATAAAGAACGTATAGCAAATTAAAGGGAATCAAATTTGCTATTAAATGAGATACAAAATTTTAAAA